CGAAAGCTTATGCTCCCAATACTTCTGTTAGTCTCAAAGGTGCCACAGGACCCTCGGTTGCTTTTTTCTAACTGACATGATTTACATTATATCAAATAAACCAATATAAAAGCCCTAGAATAATTGGATTATTCCACTCAATAGCCAGTACAGTCCAGCATGCACTAAGAAAGAAACAAAGCCACACAGGATCTATTAGGTGAAGAACTTAAGCTATTTCAAGGACCCATACACAGGATTTTTTTAAAATTGGAAAAAAAATTCACTGATTTTTTTAATAGAGGAGAGATGTAGATTTTTTATTTATTTTTTTTTGCTGGCATTACACTGAGAACAGAGCCAGTGTAATGCCAGCAAAAAAATAGCTAAATTTAAAAAGACCAAATCAATATATTACTTTTCTAACAAAAGGTTGGGAGTAATGTCTGATAATAGTTGGAGACAACAACTCTGACTATTCTTCAACAGATTGCAGATGAAACAAGAGGAAACAAAGGACTGATTTTCACATTTAGCATCTGGACATCACAAACAGTACCTGTGTTCTCGGTTACTCTTATGTTTCAGGTAAGACAAAATATTGTTTTGACAACTTTAGATGTAATTGTTTTCTTGTCATGAAAAGATTTACCTTTTATTTACTGAAAATTAAGTTCCTTAATATTAGGAATTCCTCTTACTATAGCTCATTAAAGAGTTAACCATTACATGGATTCCCACAACAGGCAAAAGTACTTACTGCAGTTATAATTCATCCAATTGAAAAACAACCTAAAATTAAATTCAAGATCATAAGACCATTTTGTTGATAATGTTCTCCAGCAATCACAAAAGGGTGAGAATATTAACAAAGAGACAATATCAAACAAATCACATGAGCAGACAAATTTGTAATCTTCCAATTCACAGAGGAAAAACAAACAGTTGAAACAAAAACAAAAAATCCAACAGCAAGGACATTACGCGTTTGGCCAGAAAGAAAAGTCACCACTTTCAACTGCAAATTTCCACTATTCTCTTGTAGCTGGCACTGCATGTTTGCGACCTATAATTTTACTGCAGAATGCTTAGCTCAAAATTTGAGCTCAGGTATGAAATATATGCAACTTGGCCATTTAAAAGCATCCATGTTCTTGCTTTAAGAAATAAAAAGCATCTTAGATATCATTCACGACACTGTTACTTATTAACTTAGCTAAAAGTTGTTTTTTATTTTTATTTTTGCAGGTAGCAATGCAAGCTATTGGGAGGGAGAAGAGGAGATTTACTCTACCAATAGCCAACGTGAGTCCAGTCATCTCACAGAATTACACATACAAGGTTTTTCCAATGAATGCAATGTGAAAATACCAACCCACTAAAAGTTGCATGCTAGTAGTGAATCTGGTTTTGCTATACTTTAGATGGAAAATATTGGAGACAGAATCTCATCAGATTGCAGGCTCCTGAGGACAAAGTCTGTCTCGTTTATCTAAGCAAAGGAACAGCTAAATTCTAGGCTCAACTCTGCGATTCAGTCACTCTCTGCATAATCTTGGAAAAGGTCATTTGACTATGCCATTCTCTCAGTTTCCTCATCTGTAACTGAAGGATAATACTGACTGACCTACTTCAATGCCATTTTGAGATTCAGTTCTTATGTATTACTTTGAAAATGTAAAGTACTGAAAAAAAATATACATTTGATTGACTGACCATTCCATCCCAAATACATGCTTTACTGACCCGAACCTCTACATACCACCACTAATTACAACGTGGGTTTGAAAGCTAGAAACTATATCTTTATTTTCCATGGCCTTATCATGAGTGCATATGTTTTGGTTTTCAGTCAAACATCACAGATAAGAGTTATATATTCCATTTTCACAATAAATATCTGAACAAGGTACAATTTTTTCCACAGGTCAAAAACAGTACAAAGATTCAAGACAAACTTATCAGACAACTCCTTGTAGGAAGCTTTTTAAAAAGGGGGGGGGGAGGGGGAGAACCACACACACGATTAAAGTCTCTACAAATAATCCAAGCAGAATTGCCAAGAAATTCATCTGCGAATTTAAATTAGTTGCTCCTACTCTTCAAAGTGTAAGTAACTTAATTTGATCAGATTTTCCTTAACCACAGTTTTTCTTCCATGTTATAGCAATCAGCTATATATAGTCACAGAGTAAACAACAGACTAAAAATATTTACAGTACTTTTTAAGATCACAGAGCACTACATAACATAATTAAACATGAATCAGTGAATAAGACATTAAAAAGCAAAAACATATACTTCAGCTTGGTTTTAAACAAAATATAGACTACACTGAAATTAAAACTGCTTTTATTGCTTCTTTGAGATCAGTTCTCAGGGCAGCATGCTCAGAAACTGCATGAAATTTTCAACAGCATAGTTAGATTCTTCAGTTTGTTACCAATTGACATTTAAAAACATTGCTGATGTGCACACCAAATGCCATGATACAAAATACTGTCATAAAAAACCACAAGCAACGTGCTTACCTGTAAATCTGTCTTCAGCCATTTGGAATCAAACCTAATTTGAGCAGCCAGACAAAAAGGTTCAGAAGACATTTTCAGTCTCCAGCCCTCTCCAGGCTGGCAGAGTGGCCAGACCTGTCAGTGGGGGGAGGGGGGAGGGAGGAAAGAGAGAGAAAAAATCTAGTAGATAAAACAAGCTATGCAAAGTTATTTTGGTAGTACCAGAAGAATTCCCATTTATTCTAAGGTTGTATTCATATGAATATGAATCTCCCTAACTCACATGGGAGCTGACACCCTGACAATGCATAAAGGGGGAAGAAAGAAAAAGTACCACCACCACTATTCAGGCCACAAACCTTCCCCTCCCGATGATGGTGAAAACATCCTTTCTGATGCAGCAAAGGACACCCTCAGAGGCCTGGGCTGCTGCCTCTGCCCCTCACACCCGTAAATGGTGCATGAAATAAATAATTGATCCAGATTACGGAAGCAGCAGACAAACCCAAAGCTATTACCATTTTTACACACACACACAGATGGAGGAGGGGGGGGGAACCTTCTATGATGCTCCTCTCCAAAAACAGCATCCTCTTCCCCTCGTCTCGTCACCTTCAAGCTCAGTCAAGGCCCGTTGCCACCACCCCCTACGTTGCTGCTCTAATTTGTACTGGAATACGGTCTGCGGGCCGAGGATCTGACCCCAGCACCAGTTAGT